AGCTCAGACAGAATTTAGCTAAACCACTGCAAGACTTTGTAACTAGCCTTCATGTCCACTTTTGCACTTCTGTCCATTCTCTACGTTGCATCTAGGGTTATATTGTCAAATGTGATCATGTTATCTCACTGCTGTAAATCATTCAATAACTTTCTGGTGGCCTTTTGTATTATCTGAATTGTCCTTCCCACCCCCAAATTTGTATGTGAAAACATCTGGAGATAATGGCTTTAGAAGATAATTAAAGTTAAATGATGCCATAAGGTGGTATCATTTAATCAGTTAGGACTACAGCCTTATGAAAGAAGGGAGATTACATCTTCTCTATCTTTCTGTACCACCTGAGGATACAGAGAAAATAGCTATCTGCAAACTAGGAAGAAGACTCTCACCAGAACCTTACTGTGCCAGTGCCTGATTGACCTTTAGCCTCCAGAACTGTGAGAATATAAATTTCCAATATTTAAGCCATCTACCTTATGGTATTTTGTTATGGCAGCCTAATTGACTAATAAAGTCTTCTTAAAACAATTAAATCATGAAGAATTGAGTCCACATACCAATCCAGCCTTATATCTTTCTCCACCCCCAAACCCTCCTCACTCCCAATCTTTGGTTCTAGCCATACCAACCCATAGATCTTTCTGTTTCTTAGAACATACCATGTTCTTACCATAAGGCCTTTGGCTATATTTGTCATTATACCTGGAACATAATTTGTTTGGTTGACCCATTATCATTCTTCTATCTCTTCAGCTGGGCATGGTGGCACACACCTATAATTTCATCACTTGGGAGACTGAGGAAGGATCACCAGTTTGAGGTCAGACCAGGCTACAGTGTAAAACTTTGTCTCAAATGAACAAATAAAAACAAAAGAGAAAAACAAACATAACTCCTCACAAAGCCTTCCTTGACTCCCATTTGAGCTCTACCTTTAGTTTCCCTTTCAATGTCTTCAGTGCTCATTTATTTTCCTGTAGAGCACTTTTTATAATCTATATTCATACATTTATTTAGATTATTTTTATAAATATCTATCCTTTACTCCAGACTTATAACTCTGTGAGGACAGGAAATATACTTTGGGCACAGCATCCCCCTAAAATGGGCACAATACCTGGCAAATGATAAAATCTCAATAAATATTTATTGAGTGAATAAAAATAAGCTAATGTTAAAGTGAGCATCCATAAAGAAATGGTGGCAAAACTTAAGATATTTGAATTGAACAGAAAAGAGTACCTTGGACAGACCCTAATTTTAACACGAAGATTCAAAAAGAAACTAACAAATGAATGTCTCAAAGAGTGTTACAATTAATTTGGCATATGATAGGAATCCAATACATGAATGAATGAGTTAAAGAGTGACAGAAGAATGAGAAGTTGAGTTCAAGACTGTAAATAAAATAATTGTAATTCAGTTTTCAGAGAAACCAATAATATATTTCAAGGCATTTGTGGTATAAAATGTCAGGTGTCTTACATAGATCAAGTAAGATGAGAACAGAGAAAAGACCACAGGATTTATACTGTAAGTAAATTAGTGAAAATAAAAATAAAAGTTGAAAAATAATTTAGAGGTACTAGGCCAAAAGTAGTGATTATGAGAAATTATGATTGATATAGTTACAGATTAAAGCAAAAGTAGGAGACAGTAGGTAAAAGAATCCATGGTCAAGGGAAAGTTTACCTACAAGAAATGATGTGAGTGTTAAAGTAAGGAGAAGGAGGATGACATAAAGACTGACAAACATATTAAAAACAAAGGGGGCGGCTGTAAGTGTGGCTTATACTTGGAAGAGCAGCTACCTTTCAAGTGTGAAGCCCTAAATTGAAACCCTAGTACTATCAAAAAAAAAAAAGGCCCCTCCAAAACAAAACAAACAAAAAAAGATGTATGTTCGTTAGAATGAAATATAGAAAAAGTAGATGTGGATAAAATCAAAAGTGAAAGATGAACTAGACTTAGAATACAAAAAGCAACTTTCATCTTCTGGAATACATTAGAAAAAGAACAATAGGTGAATATTCAAAGAAATAATAATAAGGAAGAAAAAAGAAGCATTGGTTAAATGGCCTCAATATCAATGAAAGTGAGAAACAAATTTATCTGATGAAACATGCTGATGACTCCAAATTTAAATGAGGAGTAGAAAAAACATTATTTGGAGAGTGTTTAATGGGTAATATCTGAATAGTTTAAGTAAATTATATTTATGCAATTATAAGAAGTATAGAAGTTATGAATACTCCATTTTGAATTCTGTTGGTGAAAGAAACATTAGGAACTGTGGTAGTCTGAATAACGGTGCCAAATACACCCAGTCCTAATCTCTGGAACCTGTGAATGTTATATTATAAGGCAAAAGAGACCTTGCAGATGAGATTAAGGATTTTGAGATAGGGAGATTATCCTGGATGATGTGTGGGTCCATCTATAATCACAAAGTTATAAGGAGATAGAGTTGAGGATGATGACTCACACCTATAATCCCAAGCACGCACGAGACTGAAACAGGAGTATCCTAAACTCCAGGCCAGGGAGATAAAAGTACAGCCATGCGATGCATAATAATATTCTGTTCAACAATGGACCACGTATATCATGGTAGTTGCATAAGATTATAATGGAGTTTAAAAATTCCTTTTGCCTAGTGGCATAATATCCATTTTAACCTCTGTGCTGCCAGTCATGTAAAAGTTTACAAATATAATTAATTACAGTATATAACACCTGACAATAAAATGACCATGTTATTGGTTTATATATTTATTATGTAATATACTTTCATCATTAGTTTATAATGTACTCCTCTACTTATGAAAAACTTTACTATACAACAGTATGTCATGTCATGCTGGCAGCAACCTCAAACATTTTGTGCTTACCCTGTCATGCATCAAGGAGCCATGTCTACCTGTGTAGCTATCTTAAACAAACAAAAATGTCATTTTTTTTTTCTTTTACAAAATCAGAGAACAAGATATAGAACAGGTCCTGCCTGGGGGAATTGGTTCCAGTGGGGGAGGGGAGAAGGTGGAGAAAGGGCTTGAGAGCATAATTACTATGTACACATGTATGTAAATGGAAAAATGGTACCTTTTGAAACTATTCCAGGAATAGGGAGAGGGGAAAATAAAGGAGAATGATGGAATGGATGGATTCAAGTATGATATATTTGAGATATGATAAGAACTTTTCTAAATACCACAATGTACCCACACCCAACACAATAAAAAAAATTAAATAAAAATGTTTAAAAAAAAAAAGAGTCCATGTCTATCTGGCAGAATGACTCAAATGACAGATCACCTGCCACCTAGCAAGAATGAGTCCCAGAGTTCAAACCCCAGTGCCACCAAAAAAAGAGAGAGAGAGAGACCATGTCTAGTGATGGACCTACACCATCTAGGTTTGTGTAAAACACTCTATAATGTTTGCACAATGAAATTGCCCAATGACAAATTTCTTAGAATCTATACCCATCAGTAAGCAACACATGATAATACAGAAGACAACAACTGAACAGAGACAGAAGTGATATATTCATCAGTCAATAAATGCTAACTTGAAGCTGGAAAATTCAAGTGAAGAAATGGGTTCTTGGCTGGTGTGGAGCTTAGTAACAGAACCCTTACCTCATTGCCCAAGACCCTTAGTTCAATTCCCACAAAAAAAAAAGAAAGAAAGAAAAAGAATGGATTACTTCCTGGAGCATTCAGAAGGAATTAGTCCTGTCCTTGATTTTAGCCTTGTAAAAATCCTTTTGGGTATATGGCCTCCAGAACTGCAAAGTAATAAATATCTGTCATTTTAATCACTAAGTTTGTGGTAATTTGTTACCATAGCAATAAGAAACTAATAAAAGGAATATAACTTGTAAATTCATGACAATAAAATGTCTGTTTCTGAAGTGATTAGCTGGATATACTGTAAAAGCTAGATATATTTTAGGCATAATTTCTCAACTTGCTCTATTCTTAGGATATCCTCAATATTTCCATGCTTTTCCTTAAGTATTCATTTTGATTTCTTGTAGCCTTGAGAGTATATACTTGTGAAATCCTCACCTTCTTTGAATTAGCAAACAAGGTCATTTTAAAGTTTTTTCTTACAGTTTTTGCTAGCAATTCTTAAACAGGATAAAGAGTGTCATCTAGATTTGGAAAAAGTTTGCCAATGTGGTTTTTGATTGCCATAACCTAGAGTTGTTAGATTAAGGGATGTCAGGTGAACTCAAGTACTTACTTGCATTTTTACATAAGCGCAGCTTACACCTCATTATGATTTAGATATGGTTTGTGTGTCTCCAACAGCTTCATGTGCTGAACTTTATGAGATGTTGAAAGGGTATACATTTAATCTGACTATAGTTCTTAGACGTAGGACATCTGGAAGATGATTAGGATTAGATAAGGTTATTAGGGTGGAGACCTCATAATTGAATCCTGGTGGTTTTATAACAAGAGGAAGAGAGACCACAAGAGATGCACATACATAAATGCTCTCCTTGTCTCTTGCTGCCATGTGATATACTGCACACTTCTGGATTCCGCCAAGCAGAAAGCCATGACCAAATGTGGCCCCTAGGTTTGAACCTCCAGGATTGTGAGCTGAAATAAACCTTTTCATAAATAAAGTTACTCAGCTTCAGTTATCTCATAGTAACAGAAAATAGATAGTACATGTCTCTAGAAGTAGCATTAAAAAATAAGAACTTTCAGCAACCCTGAACGCTGTTGAACATGGGTGCAAACATATACATATTATATATCTGGTCCCTTCTTCTTGTATGAGATAGCAACCCCTACTTATTTCAACCCTAACTTTATCCCCAACCAGAACTGTAAACTAGATAGGTTTCCTTTCCATAACCTGCTTTCTCCAGCAGCAGCCTTCATTCTGACTTGAAAAGAACTTCCTGGAACCCCATTGGCTCAAGATTAAGAAAATGGTTACTTAGCAACTGAGTCCTGAACCCCAACAGACCTGAGAAGAGGAAGCTTGTGGGCCAGCAACCTAGTTCTGCCTGTGTTACAGAGAAGAGAAACTGCTAAGGAGATGAAGCCCTTGACCTTGTTAATAGAGATTTTGATAATTCTTGGGCTCACAATGAAAAGTAAGTTTTTTAGTCCTAATAGTTCTTAGGGTCTTTTCTCCTTGTTCTAACAGCACTGAACACTTAAGACAATTAGAAAATTAGAAGTAACTTTACTATATTCCCAACTAGAACCATTTTTATACAAGCAAGTACTTTCTTGGGACAATGCTTAAGAAGGATGTGTGTGTGTGTGTGTGTGTGTGAGAGAGAGAGAGAGAGAGCACAAATTTATGAGGAAGAATTATAGTGATTTTTTTAAAGTAGGGGCTCAAAGAGTGGAAAAGTGCTACAAATGTATATTCTTTTAAAAACTTTATAAAGTGACAATTCTGCTTACAAAGTTTCAATATTTCCTAAGTAGCTGCTGTCTGAAAAAGGAAAATTATTTTCCAGTTTTATTTCCTTATCCATTTCTTGAGTTAATTTTACCCAATTCTCATACAATTTACTCACTTTAAGGAATATTTATTTGGATTTTACCCAGGAACTTAAGGTTGGTTTATCTGAAAATTAATTAATATAGCACATTACACCAATAGAATAAAAGACAAAGACCACATGATCACCCCAATCTGCTTTGCAGAAAAAGCATCTGGCAAAATTCAGCATGTTTCTGTGATTTTTTTTTTTAAATCAACAAACCAAAAGATTTTCTGAACCTGATAAAAAACCTCACATCCTCAAAAACCCCACAGATAATATATTTAATAGTGAAAGACTAACTGTGTTTCCCTTAAGATTAGGAGTACGATAAGAATGTTCTTTCTTGTCATTGTACTGGAAGTTCTAATCATGGAAACAAGAAGAAATTTGGATTCCTACTTCATACCATCTTCACAAATTTCAATATTTGGCTCAAATATCTAAATATAAACAGAGCTTTAAAACTCCAACTGTAGAACTAAATCTTACTAACCTTGGATTAGGTAATGATTTCTTAGATGTGCCACATTTCTTAATGTCCAGTTTATCTTTTTTTCTCTTTAAAAAGAAAAAAAGCAGATAAACTTGACACTGAAATTTAAAACTTCTGTGCTTCGAAGGATATCATCACAGAACAGGAGAAAAAAATGAGTTAGTCTTACAACTTATCAACAAAATGACGAACAGCCCAGTTTTTAAAAAAGCAAAAGAATTAAGTAGTCATTTTTCCAAGGTAGATGTATGAATGGCCAACCACATAAAAGATGTTCAACATCATTAGTCACTAAGGAAATTAAAACCAAAACCACATCACACCCACCAGAATGGCTACAATCAAGAAATGAAGCCTATGTTTCATGCAACTTCTCAAAGGAAGAATGACCACCAGCAGCTACTGGAGCTACCTGCAAAAATTCAGCCAGTATTCTCACTCTTGCCACATCTACTCAAACCTACATGGTCTGATCCAGAAATATGTGCTGCCAATGTTTCCATCAGTAAGCAAAGGAAACAGGCTTCACTGAGTAGGACTAAGTGACCTTCCTTGAATGGATTATCCAAAACATCCATTCAATGAAAGAACATGCTAGCTCTTTATACATAAAATAAAATTTAAGAAAACTTTCCAAACAAAGCAAAGCAGAAGTTGGTCATGGTGGCACACATTTGTAATCCCAGCACTCTGAAGACTGAGGTAGGAGTATCACCTTGAGTTTGAGGCCATGATAGGATGTTTAGCAAGTTCCAGGCAAACCAGTGCTACAGAGTGATATCTTGTTTCAAGAAAAGAAGGAAGGGAAGGGGAAAAAAAGAAAGGAAAGAAAAAAGGCAGGGTATGCATAGCTCAATGGTAGAGTACTTGCCTAGCGTGCATGAGGCCCTGGATTCCCTCCCCAATATGAGAAAAAGAGAGAGAAGGAGAAAGAGAGAGAGAGAGAGAGAGAGAGAGAAACTGGAACCCTTATACATTGTTGATGGGAATATCAAATGTTAAAGTCACTGTGGAAAACAGTGGGTCCTCAAAAAGGTAGAACTGCCCAAATGTCCATCAACTAATAAATATATACGTAAAATGTGTTATATCCATACTAAGAACTATTATTCAGCAAAAAGGAAAGCATAATATGGATGACTCTTGAAAACATAATGCTAAGCAAAAAGAGAGTAGACACATAAGACTGTGTATTATGCAATTCCATATACATGAAATATCCAGAACAATCAAAACCACAGAGACTGAAAGTATATTATTAGTGACCTAAGACTGGGAGATATAGGGAAATTGGGAAAATGATAACAAAAGGGTATAGGATATCTTTTGAAGTAAGAAAAATGTTCTAAAATAACTGTAAAAAGCTAGGAGCAATAGTACATGCCTGTATTCCTACCTACACAGGAGACTGAGGCAGGAGGATCACCAGTTTAAGGACAGCTTGGGCAACATGGTAGGACCCCATCGCAAAAGGAAACAAATGAACTGCAAGGTGTAGCTCAGTACTAGAGAGTTCACAACATGTGGGAGGACCTATATTCAATCACTAGTACTGCAAAAAATAATAAAGGAAAATTGCTTGTGGTAGTGATCTCACAAATTTGTACATATGCTAAAAGTCACCAAATTACAGGGGGAATGTATTTAATGAAAGTTATGTGCCAGGAGGATTGGGGATACAAAAATATGTAAGACACAAAACTTATCCTTGGTGACAATGTAACCAGTATGAAACTATAGAGTGGTCAAACAAGAAATAAGGAGGACTTAAGCTACAACAATAGCAGTGCCTGCCAAGAGAAGGAGGTAGGTAACAAGGCTAGAGAGAATAATGGCACAAGAGTCCAAGGTGATAGAGTCTCAAGAAAATGGGAATCATCAGTAGTAACAAATGGCAGAGGCAGTGGGGAAGTAAGGTAAGGGTCAACCACTGAATGCAATGTTTGGGAAAACTTTAAATTTCTAGGACATTTTTAGTGCAGACATAGGGACAGAAACTTGATTTCAATTAGTAGAAGTAAAAGGGAAGAAAGTAGAGACAGTAATAATAATTATGGATTATTATTTCTGGATTGTGGCACTTTGTAGGATCAGACTTCAGTTTTCAGTAGATTGTTTATTGGTTACAGATGCAGGAGACCCAGGGAAGTAGGTCTCCCTGAGTGACAGGGCAGTTGCACTTCACTCTAGTTCAAAAGACCCAAGATCCACACTTAACATCAGCCCTTGTCCTTGCTTTTTATTCTCTCTCTGCCCCTCTACCCTAGCTTTCAAGGCAAAACAGACAAACCTGTCCTTTCTTACTCACATACACCTTACAAACTTGCAGGTTGCCTTTTTATGCATTTTCCACTGATACTCATTGTATTTTTACTTCACCTACATGAAAACATTGAGAATGAAGCCAAAACTGTGATTTTCTCTGACTCTACAATTATCTAGGGAAAATTCTAAAACAATTACCAAGATTATTTTCCCTTTTGGTAAATCCTCAGAATAAAATAGCTGATAATGGAAAGAGCAGTCTATTCCAAAGTGCATGGCTTAGAAAATTAAAGTAAATCAACACTTTTTTGCCACTAACTAAACCAAGCCAGCTATTAATTTAAGGTAATGTAACATATATAACTGAGGCAGAGAAAAAAACATTTCCAGTAACTCCATTTCCACATCTGTGGGGAGTGGATTATGAGAAGCCTATGAGAACTTGACATAAGCACAGTTGTGCTCAATGATCTATAGGCTGAGTTTGGCATGGCTCCAGCCACAAAAGAGAGCAAGAGGCAAAATGCAGCACATCTGCTCTTCCTAAGTTGTTTATCTTCTGAGAAGAGGTTTCTCTTGTTACAATGTCACGCCCCTCCCCAAGAACTGTTGCTCTACCTCCTTGTTTACCACTGGATATAAAACACTTGCTGAAGAAGGGCAGGGGTTTTTTGATGGGTGGTTCATTGGTTGGCTGCTGGCTGTTGTGAGATTACATAGCGAGGCCCTGTTTCAAAACTTAAAACTTAAAAGTAAAATATTACAAGATTCTGGTTCCAGATCTGACTTTGTAGAATGAGCTTGTCGAAGCAATGGCACTCATCTCATTTTTACCCATTTTTGTTCTTTCTCTTTCTTTTATCTTTATCTTTTTTCTTTTTAGACTGGGTCTTGCTATGTATCCCAGGTTGACCTCAAATTTGAGATCCTACCTTTGCATTGACTGCTGGGATTATAGCAGAGGAATGTGCCACCATGCCTGGCTTAGAATCTTAGTCTTGTCTTACTATTTGTAAAAATACTGAACTATATGATACTTAGAGCATTATAGCTGTATGATCTTAAAGTTTGTAGATTTGCACTTGAAATCTAGGGGAGCAGAGAGGGATGTCGTTAAAGGAAAAAATATGAGAAGAAATAACTTTGAGAAGAAATGTTATTTAAAACATTTGCATACATTGTGATCATAATGTAGCCAGGCATCTGGGTCTAAAGATTAGGAGGAAGGTCTGAGATCTAGACACACAGATAAATGAAGCTATGGGGTTTATGAGACAGCACTAGAGATGTAGCATATGAAGAGCAAGAGAGTCAAGAACTGAGCTTGAGGGGTAGCATAAAAGGAGACTTGAGGAAGACAAACCAGTGAAAGAATATGAGAGGGTTCTACAGTGAGAAAGAGAAAAAAGAAGATGAAGTTGAATAGTGCCAAATGGTTAAGTTCACAGAGGTCAAGTGCAAAGAACAGTGATAAGCCAGTAGATTGGAATCAATTGCATTCTTTGAGAAAGTACATTCAATAGAGGAGATTAGATTCTAGAATCTGTTAGGAGAAGGTAGAGGCCTACCACTGACAGAGAAAATTCCTGGGGATGTATATGTGGTGAGAAATATATGAGTCTTTGTATGGAGAAAGTAGAGTAGAAATGTTAAGAGTAATGCCTGCATGACAAAAAGGACAAGTCAAGAAGGGCAGTTCCTCAACACAGGTGAGATAAACATGATGTATGGGCACTTATGGGTTCAGCAGAGATGTGTGTTCCTCTACTTCTCCCAGGTTGAAGTCTCAAGTAGCTAGGTCTACAGGCACACACCATTATGCCCAACAACAACCTTT